TCATTCAACCGGGCAGACCTCCTGGCTTTCTCAATTTGTGCCCCGTATCTTTACTCATATTACCATTCTTAGCTGCAAATCATGGCTGTCGGACCGACCCTTGGGACAGGCCTCTTTATCGGAGGCGGCCAGGCGCTGGCCGCTGGGGGTCCTGCTTCCTTGCTCTTCTCCTATTTTTTCATGTCTGCTCTGGTATACTGTCTCACTACCGCCTTGTCGGAGATTGCAGCTCATATGCCGGCCCAAGATGGCACAATGGTCTCTCACACCTACCGATACGCCCCAAACCACTTGGCCTTCTCCATGGGTTACCTTCGCTGGTATTCACTGGCGATGCTCATCCCGTTCGAAATCACGAACGCTATTGTCAGTCTTGGAATGGTGAATCCCTCGCCTGCGGTTGCGCTTCGTGTCAGCATTCCTACTTTGATCATATTTGGCTTCAACATGCTCCCAGAAAGCTCGTTCAAGAGGTCGGAAGCTGTTTTTACCTTCTTGAAACTGATCACGACCACGGGCCTCGTCTTTCTCTCCGTTGTCTTTGCAATTCCAGGTGTCCCTCACTCTCCTGTCCAAGGATTTCATTACTGGAACGAGCCGGGCCCCATGAACGAATTCATATACGATGGTCATTTGGGTCGGTTCCTAGGTCTGCTCCAGTGCCTCTTGTTTAGCATGATTGCCTTCGTCTTTACGCCGGAGCTCATCGTCCAGAGAATTGAACAACTTGGGTCGGAACAGCAAGCCAACATTCTGAGTGTATCCCGAATCGACATGGTACATCTTTTCGCGCTCTATATACTCAACGCATTGGCCATGGGCGTGATGAGCCCCTTTAACGATCCGTCACTTACAAACCACGGGGTTGGCGCTGGGACCTCTCCTTATCTGGTGGCGATCAGGAGGAGCGGAATTCCTGTTCTGCCAGTGGTCGTGACCGCGTTGATCTTCCTCTCGTCTGTCGCATCAGGCCGTTCTTTTCTCTTCACCTCTTCACGCACGCTGTATTCATTGGCTGAAGCTGGGCATGCTCCCGAACTTTTCAGGCGGCGCAACCGATGGGATGTACCATATGTAGCAGTCATGACATCGGCCCTTTTCTCCGGTTTCGCATATTTCTCCGCGATGACATCCAGCTCGATTGTCTTTAATTCGCTGATGTATTTTATCACCACGTCCGGATGCATCTCCTGGGTGGGCACGGGCATCGTCTATCTTTACTTTCGCAGGCAGACAGAAGCCTTAGGCTTTACCTCTGTACACCGGGCCAGAATACAGCCCTATGGGACATACTTTGGCATTGTCACATGTACACTGTTGCCTATTGCTAACAGTTTCATCATAGCGACTCCGTCGCAGCTGGCCGCGAGCAAGTTGCTTCCTGTGTACTTCGGAATATCCTCCTTTTTCCTGCTCTACTTTGGCCATCATGTGGGCTATGCCGTTATTCGGAGACGGGCGAGGATGAAGGAAACCAGTATTGAGGAACCTGGAGATTGGGCTATAGAGCTTCCTCCTACAACGTCCAACGACAGGACAGAACTAGCAGATCCACCCTTACACAACACAGCCCTTTGAAAATTCACCCACCACAGGAACAATTTGGAGCGAGAGTGATAACAGGCTGGCGCTCTTTAGTTGGGACTAGGAATGTTTTGGACGGGCTCGCATTTTGTAGGCTCAGGACTGTATTTGACGATTTGATATTCTTATGCTATTTATAGGTCCAGCAGGTCAATCAATTTCTGGTTTTTAGCTCTAAAAAAATGATGAGTTTTATTGTTCTTTAGTAAATTTATTTTCTCAACTTTTCATCGGCAGTATAACGAGGTCTGAAGATGGCATCTCAATCGTGCAGAATCCAGTTCAACTTCCAGATTATCTCTGTGGCAGGCATGGAGCACTTATTCCTAGCGAGGCTTCCAAGTTCTTTTGCTAACGATTAAAGTACGAGAAAGTCGATTGAAAATTGATTCCTCCGTACAAGCAGCTTGATCTGTTCTCAATCTCCCAGCCACTCAAATCTAGTGGCAAATTGAAATAGTGCGGTGCAATGGCAGCTTCATTATGTCTGTGCCGACTGCCTGAGGCAGAAAGGGAAGGATGAGGTTTCCACATTGCGGCCATTCTTTGGGCTTCCTAACGGACCACCAGTACAAGGATTGTTCTTAAGAGATTTATCATTGACGATGGCTTTGAAATCCATGTATTCTGCGAGGTGAGTGGATGTTTAAAACGGGATGAAAAGCAAATCATGAAGGAGAAAATCTTTGTTGCCATCGACAACCCGCTTTAGGAAGCGTCTGGGCTTTTTAGTACGCGGTGGGTTGGGCCATCTTGCTAGCAGCGACAACAAGACAGGCAAATTCTGCCCCATTACCATTTCAAATAATACGGAGTTATGCCTTTTGATTTCGCCCTCCCATCTTTTCTTTCCCTTATTTACTTTAAGAACTGTGTCTCTTCCGCCGGAAAGCCTCAGGTCATTCTCTAGTCAAGACAGACAGAGCAGATGACTACTTTTTTCTTCGCTACCCTTCTCCCCTCTTCCTCCCCAAACACAGATTTCCCTGAGGGTTCTCGATACACTGCTACAGCAAGTTGAAATGTCTAGTTACAGTGGCATCTGACAATCCTTGTTGTTTATTTCTTTCTTTTCACTGGCTATATCACTCCTTGTTCGCTTTTCTGTCGGTTCTCCTCTTCTTGTTCCCTACCATGCTCCGAGCAAGCGGGGAGAGGTTCAGGAAGAGAAAGAAGCGATGAGCAAGGGGGGAAAGATGACCGATCTCTCCATTCGGTGCTTTTCCCCCGGAGTTTTTGCCTTGCTCAGCTGTTCCCTGAATTATACTGTTCGGTCTGATACATGGACGGCGCCCGACTTACTCGCGATCTGATGTCCCCGACACAGAGCGAGCGAGCGTTTTCTCTCAACCACTTCCCTGCATCATTTTCACTACAAATCTGTTCGCTCACAATTATTGCCTGGGTTGATCTTGAAACCACTGTCTCACAGAATAATGGTGGCAATCCGCCAGATCGCTGGGGTTACCTGACTCAGTTGGTGGTGCCTATTGGGCGATGTACAACACGCGGAAGATCCCTCCGTCTTCCCATTGCTCTCTCGCCTGACAGGATCGCTCCTTTACTCTCTTTTACTAACCACCGTTGATACTAACCGCCGCTCCTCTTCCCTACGGTTTCTTTGAGATTTCCTTCCATTGATTCCCTTGTTCTCTCGTGACTGGAGTGAAAATAACTTCATGTCCCTTGAGTCGTTGGAGGTACAGACGACCGGATAGGAATTGCCTCATTCCTGGGCTGTTTGCCCGCTTAGGGAATGGTCATCAGAGTCAAGGTCGAGTAGTTTGATTACTGAGCGAATTTTCCTTTCCTTTTCATTTTCATTGAAAATGGGATACGGCTGATCACCCACTTTCATATTCCCATCTACTGTCGATGTGATATGCTCGTTCTTCTCTCCTCCCGTCTTTCTCTCTCTGCCACTTTCGGTTTCTTGGACCCTTCCGCGTGTCATGTGCATCCCCGCTATCCCCAAAATGGGTCGGACTAACTACACTTCCCCTTCTGGCCTAGTGCCTTCAGCACGTACCGGAAACAGGCAAGCGGGAGCTCACTCTAGGTGCCCAACCACCCAGGCAGCGAGGCAGCAATTCCCTCCCTCACCCCCCACTCCCCATCAAGGCCTGACTTCTCAGGCCGCCAACCCTTCCCATCCTCAACCAGCAGCTCACTGGTCGTGTTCGTTTCCGGCAGCTCCAGGATGAACCCGAACTCGAAACAAACCGCCTGTTCTGGTCTAGGTTCTCTTGCTTGCTTTCTCTCCCATCCTTGCCCCCTCTTCTCGTCTTTGAGACTGTGTCGTTGACTCGTCCTCCCTTGGATCGATTCCTCGATGGCCGGCTGGGCAGGCATTCGTCGGCTTCCCCCTTCCCTTTTCCCGACCTTTTCACAATCGTCGTCAATATTCTAATTTTATTCCTGACAAACTTCCATTATTTTATTTTATTGTTTTGTTAGATTATTTTTCCCTCGATTTTGTCGAATTTCCGATTCCTCAAAGCGATGATCAAGCTCGTGATCTCTAACCAGATTGCCCGAAGCTGATCCCCAGAACTGAGAGCGGGTGGGAAGAGAAAAAAATTCCACGCTTTTCCTCTTTCTCTCTGGGACTTCTGGAACGCCGCTTGAATGGCCCATCCGTGCCTTTAGCCTCTCGCTGCTCTCTGTCTCTTGTCTCTTACCACACCCTACCCGTACCTAGTACCTCCCTCTCCTCGTCGCCCTCCCTCTCTCGCTTCCCTTCACTCTGCTCGCTTACCCATTTTCTTCTTCGTTTCTCATCCAGATTCCATCCTTTATTCACCTTTTCTTCCATAATACCATCTTGTCATTCACCTTCTCATCATCTTCTTCTTTTCTTCCGCTTTTCTCCTCCCATCTACGTATTCCTGCTCACCCACCAGCTCCGTTCTTCCTTCGAACCCTTTCGAGCTCTTTCGAGTCTTTCAACAGTGAAATCGTTTTTTTCGCATCTTCCCTCCATGCGATTCGTGATCCGCCAGCCACTACACGATCGGCGGCTTCTAATTCTCGATACGATAACCTCGTTTCACGGTCGCACGCGCAATCCAGGTCCACTGCTCTGAAGTCTTGCTTGCCTCACCTCGATCCATAACCCTCAATCTTGACGTTCGTCACACTTGGGCAACGATTTCTCGGTAGAGCTCGCGGTTCTTTCGATTTCGCGTCCTCTTTGGGGGTACTGTTTTCGATCCCGCTTTGAAGGACCCAACTAGATTCTTTCACTCTATACCGCAGGTGTTGTTGATTATTGGGCAGAAACTGAGTAAGGACGTGTAACCATCCATTTGGTGGTAGGTGGCATGCCTGTTGGGTCTGAACGGGTTAGTTGAAGCCCACAACGATACACACAGCGCGTTTTTCATTCATTCGTGGAGGGGGTACTCTGTCAGATTATGACAGATACCTCCCCAGTCGCCATCACGCACTCAACCACGGAGCCCTATCCGGTCACCGTACCCCTGAACTCACCCGCCCTCAACGGCGCCGTTTCCGACTCTGCCGCCCCTGACGAGGAGGAGCCGTATACCATCAAATGCATCTGCGCATTCGAAGATGACGATGGCAACACGGTCTTTTGCGAACGGTGCGAGACTTGGCAGCACATCGAGTGCTACTATCATGGTCGCCACGTGCCTGAAGTCCACAACTGCGTGGACTGCGAGCCTCGCTACCTCGATGCTAAGCGTGCCACCGAGCGGCAGAGACGTCTCAGGGAGGTCGGCGACAGCGGTGACCGGAAAGCGAAACGTGCCGGAGCGAAAGGTCAGAAGAAAAGGGTCAAGGACCATGGTGACAAGGTGAACGGGTTCCATCACCGGGCGGACTCGATTGCTCGAGACCAGCCCCCTGCCAAAAAGGCCAAAGCCACTCATCGCGCCTCCGGATCCATCAGTTCTGTTTCAGGTGCTGCGCCTTTCCCACCCGATGCCCGCAGACGTGTCGCAACTTCCATGAGTCCTACTAAATCCCTAGGGCCGTCCATCCCCCTTTACTCGAATGAATTTCTGCATCTTTATGACCATGATCAGGACTATGCCCCCATGAATAGCAACCTCTTTGTCAACCTCCCTCTTGCGGCAGACTTGGCGTCCTGGGTGACAGAGCCAACTGCGCTCGCTCGAGTTTCCACTGGGCGATCGTCTCGTGACATTTTCACCTGGTCGGATACTGCGCTGGACCGGTCGCTCTGGCCTTCGTTATCTACAGAAACAATCACCGACCCCAGCATCGATATCGAAGGGCAACATCCAACGTGGAAGGTTCTCAGGACTCGCGAGAGTGTCTCCAAAGACCACATTGTTGGTGAGATTACTGGCAAGATTGGTCTTTTGCGAGACTATTGCCTGGATCCCAGCAATCGCTGGCAGGAGCTTCGTCATCCGGAACCTTTCGTATTCTTCCACCCCCAGCTGCCCATCTACATTGACAGTCGACATGAGGGTAGCATTCTCCGTTATGTGCGTCGCTCATGTCGACCCAATGTCACGATCAAGACTTACATCACCAATGAGGTCGAGTATCATTTCTGCTTCGTTGCTAAAGAAGACATTTCGGCCAACTCGGAGATTACGGCCATGTGGTATCTGGATCCCCAACTCTTCGAGTCGACACACGGTCTGGTCAAGCAGGAGCCTAGTGACAGCGCTCAGGAAGTAGCTGCAATTTGCATCAGCAATGTGCTTGCAAATTTCGGTGGCTGCGCGTGCGAGCCTCCAGCTAATTGCTTACTTGCTAGCGTTGATCGCCGGCGGCACCCAAAGGCGCTCGAGTCGAAGCAGGTCAACGGTAAGCGGAAGAAAGCCAAGACGAAATCCGCCGCATCGCCGTCGGCGACAACCAGTCGCGCAGGCAGTGAAACGACCAAGAATATGGAGGATGACGATCAGCCCGACAGTCGTTCTACATCGGGCTCTTCGCGGGGCCAGCCACGCAGTCGGGATCTTACTCCTACGCTGCAGCACGATGGCGAGTCTGAGTTGTCCGCTCGAGAAAAGCGCAAGATTGCGGCAGCGGAAAAGAAATTCCAGCAACTAGAACATGATCAGCAGGCGCACAAGAGGAAGAAGCGAAACAGTGGCCAAGCATCCTTGGTATCTCAGACCCAGGCAGGCCAGTCAGCTTATCAGACTGTATCAGCCCAAGGTCATTCTCGCTCGTCCTCTTCGGCCCAGCCCTCAGGGTCCATGTCTAGAAAGCCCTCCGGTATGGGCGTTCCTCACGGGCGGTCTCCGTTGCGACGTCCGCACTATGTGGACTCGGCCATTCAGACGGAGCCCGAGGCTGATACGTTAGTGCTGTCTGCTGCGCCATCCCTACGGCGGCCTAGCTATGTACCCCTCACGCAACGGCTACTCAAGCGCTGTCATGCAGATCATGTTCGCTTGGTGGAATCACCATCGCCGTCTCCAGCTGCGCTCTCACCTCTGTCTTCGAGTCCTCACGGCGGCTTGTACCGAAATGTTACACCTCTCAAAACTTCCTCGACCGAGAAGGAAGACGTGGAAATGAAGGACTCCAACTCGCCTACGGTCGTGTCCTCCGGTCAATCACAGACTCAAGAGGCAGAACAAAAAGTATCGACTCCCCCATCGGCTCCTAGGGGGTTGACCAAGCCTCCACTACCCCCTCCCTGGCCATCCACTGCTGCCCACAATGCTCTGTTACCAAGAAGCAAGGTGAACGGTCACCGTACAAATCTCTGGGTTCCTCTTCCCCCAGCCACTCACCCCACAGGACCGATTGCCATCAGTCCGGGATCGGCGACCGGGTCGACGGTGTCATCGCCATCTACCCTGGATGCACCAGCGCAACCTGCCGCAGCAACTCCAGGGTCTGGAGTGACTGCGCCGAGCCCTGTCAAGAAGAAGCTCAGTCTTGGTGATTATCTCAGCCGAAGGGGGGCACTGACCACCCCGACGTCGGAGAAGAGCCAAGCGCAAGCGACTGCCATGCTTCCTCCACAGAAGCCTGTTTCCGATCAATCGACCGAAACCCGCGATTCACCGGCGCCGGTAGACACAATGAACCGCGAGGTCAAAGCGACAGGAGAAGCTGAAGCGACTAAGCGAGAAAGTCCCACATCACCGGACATGGCAGTGAAGGACGCGCCTGGTTCAGCATCGACCTCACATGTTCCCTCATTCTTTTTCTAGGCACATTTATCTGCTGGTAACGCTTGCTGCGCGTCCGTGGTAATTGGCGGGATCTTTCTTTTCGTTCTTCCACTTTGTCTCTTACGGGAGCACATTTGTGACCGTCTCCTTTCTAATCTGCTGTCTTTCTACACACTACCATTTCTGTTCGCGTACACGGTGGGAACTGAGGCGTTCTAGCCATGGAGTCGGGTTTGTTTTGATACACAAAAGGCGCGTCTGGCGTTGGTTGGAAGCGGAAATATTATGGGCTCGGGATGGTCAAATGGGATTTGGTCTAATCGCTGGTGCAGCATCTGCTTCACGATTTTTCTTTTTACTATTTTGCCGTTTCTACTGTGACTTCTTTCTTCTTTTTCATTATTCTTAGGAACTTTTTTTTCCGAGCAGTATCTGCGACGACTCTGTCTCACGGAGACTAACGGCATTATGATCTGATTCATCAGTTGAGATGACCAATGCAGATATCTACAAGAGATACCTTTTCCAGAGATTGTATACTTTTCCGGGCCGTCAAGGTCCGCTGTATTGAGGGTTTGCTTTCTCGGCTCTCTATCCAAATATCGACCATCAGACGTCTATTGAATATACACGGGAGGTCATCAAAGTCCCATTCAAGGCTCTTGAATGGCACACGAAACGTCAAGCTTGGCTTCCGGTACTTCGAGCAACGGTCTTCGTGCCCCGACTCTTGTTTCGCATTGCGAAGTTCTTTGCCTCGGCTTCGATGTCATCCACGCTCTTGGTGAGCTTGATATAGCCTTCGTCATCTAATGCAAAGAGCGCCTCTTTGAGCCACACCCGGCAGGTGATGCTTTCGTGGAATCGAGTTGAATACGCGATCGGGATTTGCCAAAGACGATCAAGCAAAGCCTGATGAAGTGTAGGCTCTAAAGCTCCTATCTTGAGGGCCACAAGCAGTCTCTGAGAGTCGATGACGTCCTGACTGGGTCGCGGGTCGAAGCGCCAGCTAGTCGAATCGGTCTCATTTAGCAGATGATAGATGTAGCCCGAATTCTCACCCTGATGTAGGTAGAGGCCCCAGTGGAATGTGTAACTGTTTTCGCCACGATCAGACAGAAGAATATAGAGCCCGTTGACATCGAAGGTGATCTCGGTTGACATTTGGGAGGCTTTAGGAACTTTGTCTTATAGTTTCAGAAATGATGGTTTGAATGTAAAGATAGAGGGATTGAGAGCAGGCACAACGTGGCCTTATATGTGCCTGCCTGGTCACTGGTGATGGTGCTAATTTTACCTATAGCGCTTAATCTGAGTAGTTCATTGGATCTAAGATAGTTTTCTGTGTGTTTTGTGTTGAAGCTGGGACCCCAGAGCGTTAACTGGAATGACCAAAGAGTGCTATGCCTTCATAACTTGAAAGGATTGGCTATTACGTAGCCTAATGATTAAAGGTAGATAGTAGTCTGTTACGAACTCTACAACCGCTCGGCGCCAGAGCTGTTTGAGGGTCGCAACTTATGTATGTATCAAGAGCAGGTGCGTTAGCTCCATCTCACTGGCGATTGCCAAGAACCCAGACAGTGTTTCCCCAAGAGGGCCAAGACTTCTGGCGATCCGCGTCGTCAAGACAGTCAGACCCACTGAGCAAAGACATGAGCAGATTGGAACAGAACAGAGGGGCACTCAAAAGGAAATCCTCTACTAACGACCAGTAGCGTCGCGTAACACACGGCGTTTGAGGACACGCTCTGCCTCTTTCCCAACCCCATTGTCGGACCGTCTAAGGGCAGACAGAAGTACATCAGACATCGTGCTCTAGATACGCTCGTCGCTCATTCTCGAAAATGGCGCCTCGATTAGGAAGATATAACGCGACTATCCGGCTAATTGAGTCCACCCAGCTCACACCAACCGAGCATTCGATCTGGAGAGCCTTTCTGGACGAGGCTGTCGATCCGGACTATGCTGCTCAATATATCTGGGAAAGGATCCACGACCGTTCCGGTCGTCCTCCGGAGCAAGTCTTGCGAGAATTAAAACTCCACTGGAAGCGAGTTGTCACTAAGTGTCAGTCGAAACCGAGCGTGCTCCTGTTTCTCCGCTAACCGTCGAATCAGTGGCCAGGCGAGACCAAGTCTCGTCAGAAGCACGAACTCTGGTCGAAGCTCGGGACGATTCGCACTGCTTTATGCTGTGTCGGAAGCCATCGGACCCCAGCGTATGCGTTCGTTTCGATCATGCCTGGGTGATCCCACCGAGCCTTTTCGATGACAGTGACATGGATCCGCAGGTAGGTGTTTATTAGGCATCTTTACGCTAAGATTGGAATAAGAGATCTCACTAAAACTCCATCCTGCTACTACTAGGGTCCTCTTTATCTTATTCTGCAAGCTTTCTTGACCCCTGCCAAGACAGTTGAGCTTCAGGCCCTTTTGCGGACTAACACGGTGGAATCTCAACTAAGAAACCTGTTCTTACTTTCACCTAGCATTCATTCGGCTTTTCGAAATGGACACATTCAAATTTCCCCCCCAACTGATACTCCCGACCAATGGAATGATGAGACCGAGATCAGGCTCAAAACAGCGAGCAAAGTTCATGTCTGTACCTCGGGGGACCTTTGCTTACAACGCAAGTACTTCTGACTGACCTGGTGCTAGTATTTCGTCTCCAAACTGTGGCCCGAGCCTTGTGATTCGCTCTTCCTCAGCGATGGCAGCCCATGGGACCAGACAGAGCAGATGTTCATCATGGAGACCCGAGACGCAAACCTACCTCTTCCAGATCCATTCCTATTCCGAACGCACTACCGGATTGCAGCCTCGTTGCATCTATTCCATGTTGTCGAACGAATCGCCGAGGGTTGGCCCTCGCCCCCGTTATGTATGGGACACTGATCCCCTGCGTGCGGGCCTCTAATGCTGATTTGGTCACTTTGGATAGTCCTGTTGAATTCAATGACACAGAAGACTTTACGCTCTCTCTGGCATCTTGTGCCCAAGTTGATTCGTGTCCAGTGCTACCGCGTGCTTCTGAAACTAGGCAGCCACCTCTACCCGCGGTCTTCCGCCGGCCTCGTGCACCGGCTGCCGTTCGGACTATTTGCGAAAGAATGCAAACGCTCTCATCCTAATGAAGCTGAGGCATTGCGGCTGGTGGAACGGTACACTTCGATCCCAGCACCCCTCTGGGTGGATGAATACCAGGGGAGCAGGCATCCCGTTCTTATCATGACGGCCGTGCCCGGACAAACGCTAGGGGCGGTCTTTCACCGTCTCTCATACTCGGAGCGCGAGCAGCTGTCGAAAGACTTGAAGAGTGTTTTGTCGCAGCTGCGGTGCGTTCCGAACCAGACCTCGTACCTCTTCTGCAACTGTCATGGCGGCCCGCTGAAGGACCATCGTTTTCCATCCGGCACATGTGGTCCATTCAACCTGGTTTCTGAATTCAACGCCTTCCTAGTCCACCGCTACGTGCGCAAGGGGACAAAGGACAAGATTGCAGCCGTCCACGCCCGTCCATATCGGTCTGTGTTCACCCATGCCGATCTCCACCCCAGCAATATCCTTATTGATCGTGGACGCCTGTCTGGAATTGTGGACTGGGAATGCGCAGGCTTCTATCCCGAGTACTGGGAGTTTACAAAGCTCATGTATGGTGCAGAACGATTCCCGGAAATCCGGCAGATCATTCGCGATGCATTCACAGAGGATGACTATCAGGAGGAGCTTGAGGCCGAGACGCTACTATGGAATGACACGCCAGTCGGTGTATAAGATATTAACCAGGTATCGAAATACCGATCGCGCTAGAAGAACGAGTCCGCCCAGCAAACGATCCTTTTTGCTGACGAGTGGTTGCTGGTTCACGTTTGAGCAACCGAGCTGACCGAGCAGTGAGGGCTATTTGAGGAGGTTACTCACCTGCTTGAGAGCCTCCACTGATGTCGTGGTCGAGACTGCCGAGAGAAATCCAAAGGCATCCGAGTTCATGGGCCATTCCATATCATCAACCACAACCACTCCATCGTCTTTCTCGTACTTTGCATGACCTCCGTCAGTGTGTCTACTTAGATTTGTCGTCTATAAAACATTCTCGAGCAGATGAAGTATTTAAATGGCTCATATGACGATATCGGCCCACTATTTTGTCTATATCCTTTCCACAATGAGGCGACATTGGCGGAACAAGCTATTACAGATTATGGTGCTTTAATTTTGTTTACTGCTGTGACAGCTTCCCGGGGCCATGGGGCATGGGGCATGAGTTGGATGTGACACTATATTAGTCTATTCTGCACTCGATGGAAGTGCAAGGGTCTCGTTTGCGATCATTTCTTCTGTTGTTGAGCTGTATCTAGTGGACTGTCGACACCGGTATCAAATCACGTGACTTACTCGGGTCTCTTGCTCTCATCCAGCTTGCAACAACTCTTCCGAAGCCCAGCAGCTCTCTTCAACACAACCACCTTCTATACCCGCCTGGGCTTCAGAGGCTGTTCAAAACATTTCCGTAATCGTCTTTGATCAGTGTCTCTGCCGTCTATCATGGCTTCCGTCGACCCTTCCCTCCACGATCCGCTCCTTGCGCTTCGCCGTGCGATCGCAGCCGGTAGTCTTCCCACGCCAACCACCACCTCCGATCTCTTGGATGAGAATGCGACCGAGGATCTGGCCAAGGCTACCCATCTGTACTTCCGCCAGCCAATTCCACAGACCATTCCGCTGACGGCGCCGACGCGCTTCGTCTCCGCCTCGTCAGACTCCGCCGTCGATCTCCGCAGCATCTTCTTCGCTTGGCAGAAGAAAGACGTCGCAATCCCCGAGTACATCGCCTCGGCGCAGGAATTGAACGAGTCGCTGAAGCAAAAGGAGCGCAAGGAAGGCGAGCCAGAGGAGAAGGTGCAGAATCTGGTCTTCGTTGAGCGGCTGGATCTCATCACTTGGCTGGAAGGTGCCTCGGATGAGAGCGAGTACATCAAGCCCCTTGAGGGTGCCGCCGCCGCCGCACCCTCTGTGGCTCCGGCGGACGCGTCTGCTGCGATCGCTCCCGGGGCCGCAGGTGCTGCTTCTGCGGTTCCTGGTGGTGCTCAGGCGGCTGTAGCTGCTCCAGGTGGACGGGCGCCGAAGGCCATTGATCCCAGATTACAGGAGATCTACAATGGAGAACGAAAGATGGGCGATCGGAATAGTGTCTTACGGGGGATCAAGCCTACCGTGAGTTCTGCCCCCCGGCGACTGGAAAGACAGATCAATGAAGGGCAATGCTAACGGGAAATTTAGGACTTCTCACACGTTCGCAAAGCAGCAGAGACCTTCCTCGGACGCAACCGCTCACGAACAGGACAATACCCTCCCGGCGCGAAGCCTGGAAGTAAGCCGCAGCCCGTCGTGCCCGCCCCGTCCGCGGGACTCACCCAGCCCCGAAAGAGCGGCAGCTCCAAGAACCAAGACCCGATCATCCTCCTCTCCCCCTCCGCCTCGTCTCTCATCCGCATGTCCAACGTCCGCTCCTTCCTGCAGGACGGCGTCTTCGTGCCCCCCGACCATCCCACCCTCGCCATGCCCAGCTCCTCCAACAACCTTCTCTACATCTACCGCCCCCTCCGCTCAGAAGCCGGCTCCACCTCCACCTCTCGTCCGGTCGGGGCTTCCCAGCCCGGAGCAGCCTCCAAGAAACCCACCCGCTTCATCCTCGTCGACAGTACCGCCAACTTCCGCCCGGACTACTGGAACCGCCTCGTTGCCGTATTCACGACGGGCCAAACCTGGCAGTTCAAGTCGTACAAGTGGACCTCCCCACCGGAACTCTTCAAGCACGCCACAGGCATCTACGTCGGCTGGCGCGGTGAAGACGTCCCCCGCGAAGTCCGCGGCTGGGGCCGCGGCGTGCAGAGCTTCGCCGTCGAGCGATGGGACGAGAAAGGCGGCGTCCATGGCGCCGGCCGCTGGCGCGATCGCGAAGTCGTCGAGAATATCTGGACGGCTATCGAAGAGGGCATGAAAGCGAGAGGGTGGGGAGCCGGGTCGACGAAATGATGGGACCCGTCGATTTCTGGTTCCTTCCAACCCTAACGCGTAACCCTCTTGTCTAAATCAGCATTATAGTATTCCATTTTCGCAGCAATCTGCAGATCTGGCAAGATCTAGTCTAGTCTCCTCTGACCGCATTTGCAATGCTCGGTTCGCGAATCAGAAGCGTACGAAATGCTTCTTTGTGCGCGGCAGCTGCTGAAAGCACAAGACAAGATTGGGACCCGCCCCATGTATCCTCTATTCGCTTTTTAACTTTGATCCTTTCTCGTATAGCAGGAAAAGGCGTGTTGCAGGCGTTCAAACGATTTGTCACTTTGATATCATTCCATTTCTACTGCTGTTCATATTCTCTTTACATCGAATCTCTTTGGCGTTGAGTGAGTGGTCTTTTGCTAGACATGATACATTCTGATTCGACTGGGCGCAGCTCCGGGCACAGATGATTCAATGGTATTCCGATCTACCTTAAGCATGGAGAAATCTCCCCCGAATGGCTACCGGCGACGTGAAAGAAATATTCATATTCCCAATATTTTATGTATTGTCTGTGACTAGATGGAATACACTCGCTGATAGGTTGAAATGTATCACAGAAGCGTCGAAGGAAAACTGGATGCAGGAAAGAGAATACTTAGACATGTACATGATCTCTCTTCAGGTGGAATATGCTGAAACAATGGAAACTGAAAGAAAATGATATCAGGCTGTGCGGCCATGCATGCAGGCAGATGTAAATGGACAAAACGCCTTTCTAATGCTGGAAAACTGTCGGGGTTCAGTCTCCTCTTCAATATGCGAGGGTCGAACAAAGGAAAAACATATTATAAACACCCCAGTTCCGGCCATTCTCTATCACATGATCCATAGATCGTAACATCTTTCATCCGTCGTGATGACTTGATTACAAATGAAGATTATCATAAAACGTGAGCTGTTGTTGAGCTCAACCGTGTATCAAGCGTCGGTGAAATGAAAAAGAAAAAATTTATATGGAGTAGGGCGGAGTTACTCCGAGTCGGAGGCGCGTAACGGACAATGAGGTGAGAAAATTCGAGGCGTATCAACGGGCCTTCATCCTCGATGCTCCCATACTGTGGGAGCGGCGGGATTCAATCGTGCCAAAATCATATGGAGACTTCAAAAGCCGTAGTAGTCTCCTTGACCAGTCCAATAAAAGTTTGCGTGCTGGACCGTGGACGATATCACACCCCGTGTGTCTCGAGAACGTTAAGAGAACGTTGGCAGAGCTGCAGTCATCCCCTACAAGGACTTCGCGCTCATGAAGATCGCAGAACGTATTCCCTCCTCACGGTTCAAGGGCGTGCCGAACGACTCATCGAGCGCTCTGGAATGGGGGCCGGAGTGGGTGAGTAAGCCCTTGGGGCACCGATCAAGTCGACATCATGCTCCTGCAGGACAACGGCATACTTCGGATCACGTAGGAACTTGGGAACAGAGTCCTGATCCTCATCAGCGAACTGTGATTGACCAAGCTGTTATCGGAAGAAAAAGAACTTACACTAGACATTAACTTGAAAACGGATGTTTGAGCCATCTCAAACAACTGCACAACCTCCTGAAGGCTTTTGAACATAGACTCATCATCACCTACAGCCTTTGTCATACGGCTCGCTAAGCTGTTGCGCAGTGCGTGATCGATATTGAGCTCGCAAGGAGAACCAGGGGCAAGGAAAGCATTGTAAAGACCTGGAAGAACGTGAGCAAAGATCAAATAACCAATCAGAACCCCAATAAAGAGTGGCTTACCGTATGCCGCAGCCAGCGTCTCGCGGACAGCGTCGGCCTTCTTGAATGCACCCATTTTCTCCGCCTTGTGGTAAGCAGCAGTAAATTCCGAGACATCGAGGTAAAACGACAGGTTTTCTTCGCATAGAGAGAAACGCAGGAATTCACGGAACAGCAGTCGCAGAGCAGGATCATGAAGAATGTGGTTCAAACGAGCGTTGTTCGAGTCTTTTGGCATACCACGGTTGTCATAGAACGTTTCGCGGGACTTGTCGCGCGCGATCCAACCGCAAACCCGCTGACCCCGCTCCGTGATACCGTAAATAGCGTACTTGGATGGCTGGAAGACGACAATGGACGCATCTGGCTGAGGATATCCCTTGTCTTCTTGAAGCATTGTGATCAGGCCGTATTTGACGAAAAGCTCCGCAATGAGGACGGTTTCCCGGCGTTCAATGGTTGTCGAACAATCCATCAGCCAGTCCACGGCAGCCTTTCCGGTGAAGGTGTTCATGTAGATCTTGTCGTTGATTTTCCGTTCCTTGGCCATCTTAACCCCAACCAGACCGTTTGAATAGTCACTCAACGAATCCGAATCCGAGGTAGAAATACTGCTCTTCACGTTGGGTCCGTCCTGACCGGCAAAGCGGCGAAAAATGACTTCGATGGTGGCCCGGTCATGCGACAGTTTATCAGTCTCCGTGTCGCGCTCCAGGTTGACCAGCTGCATCGTGTTGCGAGGGGATTCCAGCACATCTATCACGTGTCGAGCGGTGATACCATTTCTCTGACAGAATCTCTGCAAGATATTGATGCCCTTCGGAGTGAGCTGAAACAACGCGCCCTTCAGCGGGAATATCGGGAGTGCTTTGCCATCAACGGGTTCAATAAAGCGAGCGTCAACGAAACGCTGGCATACTGAGCGAGCCATCTCCTTGGCCATAGAAAAGGTGGTGGTCGTAGTCGTGGTCACAATGCGAGAGGGATCCTTGGGA